CGCAGGCCGCCGCGCAGCGCGAGGCGCCCCGCGGCGGCGGCGGCGAGCGCGTCGCGCGCGTCCCGCTCGTCCTCAAAGTCCACGACAGTCCAGGGTTCACAATGTGTTGCGCGGTGTCGCAGGCCCCGGATCTGTCGCGGCGGCAGCGTGGATCAGCGGTGGCGCGTGAGAAAAAGCCGCGGACCATTCCGAGCGGCACCCCATGCGCTGCCAGCTGGTGATCGACATGGGGCAAGAGGTCGCAGTGAACGCATGGCTGGGCACCGCACCTGCGCGCCCGGGAAGAGGTCAAGAATCGCCTCGCTGGGGGCGTCTGGCGGGACGTCGCGCAGCAAGACAGCATAAGGCACCCCACGCGGCGCGGGCGCGGGCGCGCCGCGGCTGAAGGGCGGCGGCGGCGGGTCCGAGGGCTGCCTGCCCAGGTTGTATGGCGGAGGCTCAGCGAGCGTGTCTGCGAGCGCATGGTCAGCGAGAGGAAAAGGTTGGGGAGCGAGCGGTAGGTGGGACCCGTGAAGCAAGCGCCAGGTGGTGCGGCGCACCAATCAGGTGCGGCTACGAGCGGCGCGATCGGCAACAATCGCGCGTGTAGACCCAAGGCCCCGCCACTTGCTCAGAAGCTCGAAGATAAACACGCACCACCGGCGTCCTCTACTTCATCTGCCCACGTCTTGCTGGACTTCATTCTGGATGCTGGCGCAGAGCGCGCCTTCAATCACGCGTCTCGGCGGCTTGTTCAGGCGCGCAGGCTACGTTGGTGTTGAACTAGTGGCTTTGTTGCAAAGCAGACTCCCAACCAAAGTGGGCGCCAACAGCGTCAGATCGATGCGTCAGGTGGATCAGGTGTTGCCTGCTGCTGGTGCCCAAATAGTGGTGTTGGTGATTATGGTTGCTTGTGTATGTTTTCGCGGTGATTGTTGTTTTTCCAGCCCGTCTGTTGACCCTCTGCGATGGTGAGTGCAGCGGGTGCAGCATGTCGGAGTGTCATGACCGTGCGAAGAGCTTCGGCAAACCTGCATCACTTTGGCGAAATAGAAGTATACCTCAACTACCTTGGAGTCGTAGTCGGCCGTCACCGTCTCACCGGGGATCGAAGGAACAAGTGTGCGGCACACAGCGGAGTGCACAAAGCGAGTGCACAAAAATTTCACCTGATGCGTCTGGCGCTTGCTAGCAAGCGCGGCTTCGCGTGCACCTGGCCATCCGCTTGAAGCATGCCCCCCCCCCGCCAGCCCACAAGGTCACAAACGCCTGATTTAACCCCATTAAACATGCAAGTGTATGAGCTCCACCTGCGTCATCCCACTGGTGTTGGTGGGTGCAAGTCCATCCAGTAGACGGCATCCACTTGCGCGACTGTCTCGAGTGTGTGTTTGAGCGATGCTGCCATGTCCACAAGTGCACCAGGGGCGACGGATCCCTGCCCATCCTCAATGCTGTGATGTTAACATTTGCATAGAGTGCCACAGATCCCAGCCCATCCTATGTATAGGTGATACGAGCACGATTCACAACGCAAGCGTGCAACACTCGAGTACTAGCATGCCGAAAGGTTTCTGACCTCGTGGTTTCAGCGCGGCGGCAGCCGGCAGGTAGCAGTGCAGCTTGTTGCACAGTGCAAAAGCAACTTTTACATATGATAGTAGTTTTCAAAATTGGAAACAAGGCCCCCCCATATGACGTTGACTGGAACGATTGCAGAGGGTTGAACTGTGCGAGAGCACGGCGAGGCACTGCATCTGCAAAAATGCCAATGTTGACTGGGATCGATTGCTGTGGAGCACCCCATTCATGTATGGGTGACTCACGGCATGCACAGACCGATGATGCAGCGCAGCAGGAACGGCAAGAACGACACACACACACACACACACACACACACACACACACACACACACACACACACACACACACACACACACACACACACAAGGATAAACGGTGAAGCGGTCAATGCAGCGGTGGCACACCGGCACACCCCAGTCCAACACGGCCGACGCCCGGTCGTCCAGCGCCCGCACCGAGCACTGCTGGATGCCATATTTGTTGTTGACAGCAAACCTGCAGCCCCTGAACTGCAAGGACAGCAGCGTATTGCTCCGTTGCAGGGCCTGTAACACATTGCTGATGCCCTGGATGTTCTGAACAACCAAAAACTGAACACCGCGGAACGTCCTGGCCACCTCGCGATTGCTGATGGGGGCGAACAACTTGTTCGTCTTGAAGATAAAGGGTTACCCTATGGCACCTACGCAGGCAGCGACCTGAGCAGCAAATGATGAGGGACCATGTTTGGCAACGTCACGAGATAAAACTGCTGCAACTACACATCCGGAGCAGGAAGCGTGCACACTCAGCCGGTCAAGATGCGGTAAGCCTCCAGCAAGAACCTGGGCAGCGAGCTCAGTATCGCAGCCTTGGGGTGTCACGCGCCTGTGCTGATTGCATTCACTTAACCAGGTTTGCCAAGGTAATGGCGTCCCCGATTTACCGTTGCTTGCTGTCGGCAGTCGCGACCGCGCCTCGCGCCTGGGTGATGGCGCTCGCAGGCGGCACGCCATCACCAGCTGGATGTAAGGCGGTGCCTGCGGCTGCGATCAGGTGCTTTATGACTGAGTTGTGATATGCTTTAGCCTGCCCAGAAGTACGCTTGCAAGCCACCCTTAGGTATCCCTCTTCAGGCTGTTGTCCACGTGGCAAGCGCCCCATTTCTGTTATGACAACGCAATTCCATGGCACTCCAATGGCCGCCACTGCCGCACGCCCCTCCCCGCACACAAGACAGTAGCAGCCACCACGAAATGCACAACATGACACAAATAACACTAGCCTGCATGCTGCTTTGGGGTGCCATGCAGGAGGGCTGCGTTGTGATGTGTCCAGGGTGAGGTCTGAGGTGCCGCCGAGTGACGCGAGATCAGGTGCACAAGGTGGTGCGCCCAACGCAATTGCCTGTGTATGATGTACTTCTCATCATGGGTATACGCACTGAGCAAAGCCCTTCGCCGCCATGGATCCTAAACTAGTTCGCCAAAATCATAAAAATAAGCACGAGCGCACCAATAGGGTCGTACAAGTGCAGGATAGTAACAAACGCCATGCAGCAGAACCAGCAGACGAGGACGCGCGGCAGGCTCGGTGTGCAGCCGGTGCACTGCTGCTTTGCTGCTGCCCATTGTTGCGAGGTCAAGCGTCTTGCAATGCCTTGCGATCAGGATTGTACTGCGCACAGACGATGCAAGTGCGCAGTGCTTTCAACAAGGGCAGCCAGTTTTGCTGACCGCCCGCATCGGCACCCGCACCCCTCGCCAAGCGCCGACCAACCCCCACCCCTTGGGCACGCCCGTGCGTGACACCCGCTGGCAGGCGCCACCGCATTGACGAGGAGCGGCGCCAGCTGCCGGTCTGGGCAGCCTCCGAGCAGCTGCTTGCTGAGGTGCACGCCCATGAGCAGGCCGCAGCGCCCGGCCTCCGCACTTTCTGTGTCGCTCGTGCGTAGCTGCAGCCGCACGACTCCCGGCAGACGTCGCCAGCCACCCAGGCTGTTGCCGCTGCACGCAAGAGGGTATCAGACTTTAGTCTTCTTTTCAATAGCATGCTCGTGCCCTACCCCGTTCTCAACAGGTTCGTGCCAACAAGGTCCTGATCGTGGTTGGGGAGACAGGATCGGGGAAGACCACTCAGATTCCACAGTTCCTGCTGCAAAGCGGCCTCGCTGACATCAGCGGCGGCGGCGGCGGCAAGGGCGGCTGGCGCGGCGGCAGGGACGGTGGCGGCGGCGGGATGATCGCGTGCACGCAGCCGCGGCGCGTGGCGGCAGTAACAGTAGCGCGGCGGGTTGCGGAGGAGATGGGGGTGCAGCTGGGGCAGAAGGTGGGCTTTGCGGTTGTGTGTGTGTGTGGGGGGGGGGTATATTGTGGGCTGTGAGGACGAATGCATACATAGTGTTGGGGCACTGGGGGGAGGGGCGGACCTGGGGGCGTGGTCAGCCCAGTAGGAGGGTAAAAATGGTTGTTTTGCAATGGTTGTGAGCTGGGCGCTCGGCCTGCGATGTGTGAGCTTGTTGTGTCTGGTGATGGGTCGGCAAGCTCCTCCAAAACCATGTGGCATCCCTGACGCAATCAACCCTTGGCCCAGCAGCCGCGTTTCCGTGCGCCCCACTTTAACCACCTTGCTGCACCTGCCCGCACCCGCCCTCAATCCCCCACGCCAGCTGCAGCAGCCCCGACCCCGCCCGCTCCGACCCCGAGCACACATGTACCTGACAAAACTTTTGGCCACATATGATCTCTCACGCCCACGCACCTGCTTGTGCACGTGCGCGCGCACACAAACACACGCACGACACACACACACACACACACACACACACACACACACACACACACACACACACACACACACGCGCGCGCCCAGGTCGGCTACTCCATTCGCTTCGACGACTGCACTTCTCCCTCCACGCGAATCAAGTACATGACAGATGGCATGCTGCTGAGGGAGTGCCTGCTGGACCCCCTGCTCAACAAATACAAGGTTGGCAGCGCATGCGCGGCTGGGTGGCCGGCCGGCCGGCTTGCTGTGTGAGAGCATGCATGTGTGAATGCGTTCACGGCCGGGTGGCTCACTATCAGGCTGTTGGGAGTGACCCGAGCTGCAGAGGACTGCTGTTTGATTGCTAGCACGCAGCTGCCAGGCAGCTGCTTGGCAAGCGCTCCGCCATAGCTTCGGCGCTGACCCTCTCTCCCCCACCCAGCCCACCCGGTCTGTTGTCGGTTCCGTTGCGAGCGGCGCTCCGCCCCATCCCGGGCCGCCATCAGGAACCCCCATTGCACGCCTGCGAATCACGTCACCTGCTGCAACCCCTAGTGGAGTGCATCAACAGCCCCCGACCACTCGTCACTCGCCACTTGTCACTCGTCACTCGTTACTCGCCACTTGACAACGCGCAGGTCGTCATCGTGGACGAGGCTCACGAGAGGACCGTGTCAACCGACGTACTGCTGGGCCTGCTCAAGGGGGTGGCCGCGCGGCGAGGGGACGACTTCCGGCTGTTGGTAATGAGCGCCACACTCGACGCAGAGGCGTTCAGCAAGTGAGGGAGCCCCTGCGCTTTGGGGTCGCCGTGGCACGCACAGCGCGTGAACGTGTGTGCCAATGCTCTTGTGCACCGGAATGTATGGGGATATGTATCGAGATGTATGACGAGAAGGCGGAGAGCGGCCGCGCTGAATGGGCATGGGTGGGTGGGGCATTTCCTCAAAACAAGCAGGAGCGTTTCAATGGGAGGCGACATCGACTCTCGCTGGTCGACTGTTCAATTCTGTGCTTCAGCCATACACGCAGCCTGTAAGCTGCCGATTCAGGGCTCTGCATTTTGCTGCCGCAGGTACTTTGGCGGCGCGCGGGCGGTGTGGGTCCAGGGGCGGCAGCACCCGGTGGCCGTCATGTGCACGACTCATCCGGAGGACAATTACCTCGACGCAGCTTTGAACGCGGTGCTGCAGGTGGGACGTTCGTCGTGCGCGAGGGGGCTTGTAGGAACGTTTCTGAGCGCCTGCGTGTGCCTTGCGTGCTCTGAAGGGCGCGTGTCTGTCCGTGTGTGCAAGTGCGCACCTGTATGTTTTTGTACTGATGTCGTTAGCGGCGGCCTGGTGCTGATGGCTGCCGCCTGTCTTGCCAATGCTGAGGCGCTCTAGGAGACCAGGCCCTGACGAGGTCTGTGCCGTCCTTTTTTGGCACCGCCAGGTGCACTGTGAGGAGGGGCCCGGCGACATCCTCGTGTTCTTGACGGGTGAGGGATCACGGGTTCAGGGTCTAGGGTTGAGTTTTTCAGGGTTTGGAATTTAGAGGTTCGGGGCCCAGGCGTCAGGGCACACATCGACCTGCCTGCATATGGGGGAGCGCTCTTCGCAGGCTGCCGCGTGGCCCCCGCATCAACAGGCACTGCGGCCGTCCTCTGCAACCGCTCGCACGCGTGATTTGGTTGGTCCCTCTTGAGTTGCCCCTCAGCGCCTGCGTTTTTGTCCACTCCTGTTTGATTCCTGGAACCTTGCACTTATTCCACCCGTCCAACGCGTCGGCCCAACCACTCCGTCAACCCAACTGATTTCCGCAAACTCAACCAATTTCTGCAAAGCCTTCACCATCAAACCAGACCGGCACAGTTCTCTGCATGATGTTTCTTGAGAACCCTTTGGACCCCCGCGACCCCAATGGGATGCTCCGTCGGGTTTTTCAATATTGGCAGATTCAAGACACCACCTCAATCGATCCATCACTCAAAACCCCCCAAGGCCAGGAGGAGATCGAGGGCCTGGAGCGGCTGCTGATGGACCGCGCCGCGGCGCTGCCGGATGGTGCCGCGGGGCGCGGGGGCGGCCCCGAAGAGCTCTTGGTGCTGCCCATCTACGCCGCCCTGCCGCCGGAGCAGCAGATGCGGGTGCGCGCGCCGCGGGCCGCCGCCGCTCACGCCTGCGCCTCCGGTCTGTTGCACACGGCTTGGATCACGTGTTGGGCGAAGCCAATGCCTGGAATCCCTCTGTCAAGATACCAAACAAAATGTTCCCATCAGCAGCGTGAGCGGCCGCTGTATAGTTGTGTGAATTGCCTCCATGCGGTCCCCGCACGCGCAGTCAAATCTTGGTCAAACCTGGTCAAACGCGCGACCGCAGGTGTTTGACCCGGCGCCCGCTGGCAGCCGCAAGGCAATCCTGGCGACCAACATTGCGGAGACGTCCATCACTATTCCAGGGGTGAGCTGTGGCAGCGACCGGGAAGCCCATGGCGGCTGCAAGTGTTGGGCATGGTCCTTAATAATTTGGTGCTGATGAGGAGGCGGGTGTGGGCTGGACTGGAAGGCAGGACGGCAGGACGGCAGGAGGGGACACAAGGTGGCAGGGGGCAGGGGGCAAGGATGAGGGGACTGGGGCGGAGAGGGGACGGGGGCCCCGCGCGGCGCAGGCGTCGGCAGGGGCTTGGGAGGGTGTGCGGCTGCGGCCGCGGGGCCAGTCGCAAGCAAAGGCCCAAACCGTGGGAAGTCCAGGAGGCGCACGTGCCTCGGCCCAGCCTGCAACCTCTCGCTCGACCTCTGTTAGGCCGTGGCTCTTCGCTAATGAGCGGGTGGGGGCGCAGGGCAGGGCGGCGTCACGGTGATCGCCTTCCCAATTGAACTTACGGTGGCCCCTCAAACCCCAAACCCCATCCATAACCGCTGAACCCTGGACCCCAACAGGTGCGCTATGTGGTGGATACTGGGTTTGTCAAGGCCCGGGGGTACCACGCAAAGCTGGGGGCGGACTCGCTTCAGGTGAGGCCGGGCCAGATCATGTGTGATCTGCAGATCTCAAATCATGCAGCAGATCGTTTGTCGTGCTGAAATGCGATTGCTGCTTTTTGGGTGAGAGCTGGACGAACAGGGCATACAGTATGTATGTGCTTTTGATCGCTAAAGCTCGTCATGCCGCACCAAATTGTCGCCCGCGCTCCCTGGCCGCCGCCGCAGGTCGTGCCGGTCTCCCAGGCGCAGGCGCGGCAGCGGAGCGGCCGCGCGGGTGGGCGACACGCGTGCGCGCCCCTGGCGCGCGGCCCGCTCCGACCTCCCTGAACCGTCCTGTCCATATGCATTCCTGCCCGCCCCTGTCCCGGCACGTGTCAGCTCCCTGCCCGCCTGCCACCTGCCACAGTCAAGCGCCACATCTGTCCGACGCCCCGAAATCTGGCCTTGCCGAAACCAGTTCGCGGCGCAGCCTCCAGCGTTGGCGCCCTTCCTGTGACATGCGCGCTCCATCGGCACACCCATCCCCCCACCATCAGGCCGCGAGGGGCCCGGCAAGGCGTACCGCCTGTACACCCTGGAGTCCTTCAAGGCCCTCGCGCCCACCACGCCGCCGGAGATACTGCGCAGCAACCTCGCGAGCACGGTGCGGGCGACCGCGGCCGTGGCGGAGGCAGCAAATGCAGCGGCGGCTTGCGCCTGGGCCCCCGCTCAACTGGCGGCACTGGGCGCCATTGGGCTGATCCTTTCGCCCCCTCACGGCCGCCTGAGCGTTCACGTTAGCCATATGCCCCGTCGCGTCATGGCGCCCAGTCTTAAGACGCAATTATAACTCACCCCCATCCCGCCCGCACACTCCAATCTGGCATGCAAGACCCAACGCAACGCTCTGCGCCCCTCTCGCATTCAAACTCTTCTCACCTTTGAAAAGAGTTGCCGATCCTTTCCATGGGGTCCAGATCTTCCGCCGACCCCTCGTCTTCCTGTCAAAACACCAGGTGCTGCAGCTCAAGGCCCTGGGCGTGGAGGATGTGGTGGGCTTTGATTTCATGGACAAGCCGCCCAGGGCGGCGGTGGTCAGGCGAGCGCTCAGCGACGTGTGCGGTGCTTTCTGCAACGGCGGCTCAGGCGCAGTGATCACGGTGCCGTTTGCTCCGGCCCGACCGCCTTTACCTGTGTAGCAGAAGCAGTCATCAAACAAGCATCCCCCCCACCCTACCGCACCTGCGTGAGGGCACAGTTCGCAATGATCAAAACCGGCCCGGTCACGCGCTTCTGTTAAATGCATCAACATTTGTGGCAAGACAGGTCCCTGGAGCTTCTGCTTGCGCTCGGCGCGCTGGACACCAGCGGCGCGCTGACGCCCGACGTGGGCGCCCCCATGGCGCGGCTGCCGGTAGACCCCATGTTCGCAAAGGCGAGGCTTTGGCGATGCGCAAACACCGATCCGCAGCGGCGCCGCCAAGCCTGGCACCCGCGGCGCGCCAGTGCCCAGCGTTGCATCGCGGCGTCGACGCGTCGATCCGTTTCCTCTCTTTCTTTGTCGTTGGCGTGGCGGCTGCGTTGCTGAGTGTCGAGCTGCACAATCCCCCCCCTTGCAGACCTGTCGATCTTCGCCAGAGCTGGCTAGGCACAATGCGCGCGTTTGCACCCTCATTTGCCGAATCCTCCCCCTCCCCCTTACCC